CCAGGCCTTGCAAAAGATGCAATCAAAACCAGAATGCTTTCAGGATTTTTGGACTCATCTCAGCCCCTTAGTGTCATTCCCTCTTGATTTGTTAATTCATACATCTTTTCATTTTCCAATAAAAATTGTTTTGAGTGCCTGCTACGTTTTAGGAACTGTTTGGGCACTAGATATAGATATAGAGGATAGAGGTAAACACGATAAACCAGCGTCTGCTTTTAAAAGTCTTTTTTTGGAGGGTGTGTGTATTTTTGCTACAGGGTGTGTGTGCTCTCCAGAGAAAGACAGAGAGAGACATAGAGACAGAAAGCGAGAAATCACCCCCCCCAGGGGGGATAGCCACGCCACAATCCCTTCTCTTCCATCTGTTCTTGGGATTTGAGGCATGCACACATATGTTCCTGGTGTGTTTTTCAAGCTGCCCAAGTCCAGGGTTCAAACTGCGTAGTCAGCCATGTGTGATCCAGCACCCTAACTACCATGCCACCTGCTGGTACTAAAGTCCTTACATTTTATCTAGAAAGTGTAGACAGTAAACAAGCGTAAGAGGAAGGAAGGCTCAGAGTCTGGTAAATTCTACAAGGGAAATAAACAAGATGGTATGGCAGGATGTCAAACTGAGGAGGGCCTCACTTCACTTATCAAGGTAGAGAAAAGCCTCTTGGCAGATGAAGAGGTGCTGAGAGACTGGAAGATGAGAAGGGGCCAGTCGTGTAAAGAGCAAGGGACAGAGTACTCAGGAGGTAAATGCCCTGCGACACGAAGGCGCTTGGTCACCGGGAAGAAGAATGGAGGCCAGTGGTGAGGCGTGCGTGAGCCACAGGGGAGAAAGTGCGAGGTGTGACTGGAGAAGCAGGAAGGGGGTCAGGTGCTGTAAAACTTCACAGGTCTCAGTAAGAAGTTCAGATTTCATTCTAAATGTTATAAAAAGCTATTAAAGGGGCCGGCAAGTGGTGTGGTGGTTAAGGGCGCTGGACTACCACGTGGCCGACTGCAGTTAGAATCCCGGACCTGGTGGCTTACTTTCTCACTTTCTCTCTCTCTCACACACACACACACTCTGGTCAAATCTAAATCAATAAGTATGTAAAGTTAACTTTTTAAAAATTATTAAAAAGAAGCTATTAGAGATGTGTGTGCATGTGTTGTTTTTCCTTTTAAAATATATTTTTAAAGAACTACTCATTTTATTTATAATTATTTGTTAATTTGATCAAAGAGAGACAAAAAGAGAAAGTAAGAAACCAAGCTACAAGGTCCAGGATTCAAATAGCAG